GTGATCATGCGTGATCATGTGTGTGTGTGCCACACTCTGTGTCCAAGAGTTTAAAAACGCAGGGGCGTCAGGCTCGACACATTTACCTGACGCAACGAAGCTATGATGTGTCGAGGGAAGTGAGAGCTGATCACTCTCATGTACCTGCGGAGTTCTTCACACGCTGTTACCCTACTCTTCCACTTTTTGATTCCATGGTGGCTTTCATGCTACTCCCCACAAACCCATTTTCCACCGCTGATGTGCAGCCGCGCTGACGTTTGACACCGCTGTTCTCGTGAGCTGCAGATGTGCACAAACCTTTGTTAAACAATACAGTTGCGCCGACTCTTCCACCTTTCGGTCCCATCGCCATTTTTCCTGGGAATTGAGTTAACTGAAAACCAATGTCAGAGTGTGACCCGCTCAGTCGTCCCACTTGGTGTGATCCTCCGCAAGGAGGCGCCGTTTTCACTCCGGACTATCGTGTAATGATTTAATGGACTCAACTGTTCCCTCCATGCGTTGGATTCTCTAAACTGAATTGGCCTCACTACTGGATTCTCAAAACACGATGCCGTCGGGCATATGAAAATTCTAAACCGCCGGGCATACGGAGAATAAACCCCGACGTGTTCTCTACCCCAAACACCCCAACCCCCCCTCCCCCTAATTAGGTAAGAGGGAAATGGTACTCGACACACTTGTGCGTCGGTGCCTTTCCCTCTGTTGGCCCTGTTCTAGTCTACTCTACCCGGGCGGTGTAAGACTAAAGTCCCGCTCCCTAACTATTGCACCCAATTAGCTTCCGCTAAGTAGTCAGTAACTCTAGAGGGCTAAGTATTCAAACACACACATGTACACACATTCCCTACCCCAGTCAAGGGCTAAGTATTCGCTTTTTCCTACACCTATCTTTTTCTCCTGCCCTTTTCGCGCTGCTCTTTCTGTCTTTCTTTCTTTCGTTTCTAAGTTAAGGCTTTTTAGGTGCTTATTTAGGTCTTTTTTTCGCCGGAGCGGCGCAAAGCGGCTGAGTGCGTGTGTGTGTGTGTGCCACACTCTGTCCAAGAGTTTAAAAGCGCAGGGGCGTCAGGCTCGACACATCTACCTGACGCAACGAAGCTATGCTGTGTCGAGGGAAGTGAGAGCTGATCACTCTCATGTACCTGCGGAGTTCTTCACACGCTGTTACCCTACTCTTCCACTTTTTGATTACATGGTGGTTTTCATGCTACTCCCCACAAACCATTTTCCACCGCTGATGTGCAGCCGCGCTGACGTTCGACACCGCTGTTCTCGTGAGTTGCAGATGTGCACAAACCTTTGTTAAACAATACAATTGCGCCGACTCTTCCACCTTTCGGTCCTATCGCCATTTGTCCTGGGAATTGAGTTAACTCAAAACCAATGTCAGAGTGTGTGTGCCCCTTGTAGTCACAGGGTTCCATTTGGATTGTTTTTGATTGGTTTCCCTTCTTAGAGCAGAGGGATGCTCCACACCTGAAGAGAGGGCAGGCTCTTCAGGTTGCGCTGATATCAGCAAGGACGCTTGCTGACGTACCTGCATCAACTTTTAATCTTTTGGTTCGGCAGACAAGTACGCACGACGTCATCTCGACCTGCTCGTCACTTTCGGTCTTGAGCTTTTGGCCCCATCTCCTTTTGAAGACCTCCCAGGATCTGGTGGTTCTTACTTGTACTCTTAGGAAATGGTAACCTAGGCCGGCGTGTGGCACCGCTTTCAGTTCAGTACACCCAATCATAAGTGTGTGTCATCAGTTTTCTAGCAGCTGCCGACTGCTCAGGGTGCTTATCAATCAATCCCACATCAATCAATCCCTGCCGACTGCTGGCTGGCGCATCTTTGGCGCGTGAGGAGCTTCTGCAGCCACCTCGGCAGCAGTCGAAAGCAGCCCAGCCATGCATGGACTGTCAGATGTTGGTGGTCTGACATGTTGAGAAGCAGTTTGCAGAGCCACTCCAAAAACAAAACAATGGCACGCCGAGACACTCTTCTGGCCACGGGAGCCCCAACGCTCGTAGCCCTCCTGTCCAGAAGCGATCCCTTATGAGAAGAACTGTTCGAGGAGGCTGGTCACAGGGCGTTGTCTCTCTCTCTCTCTCTCTCACAGGTCAAAAGGCCTCCAACCTGATTCGATTTCGATGTCAACCTAATAGTGATTTCCTCCAACCTAGTCCTACACACCTTGGGACTCGCTTACATGGATGGATGTATCTCAGTATCTTCTTCTTCTCCACTGGCAGTGTCGCTGTCACATGGCCCATGTGGACTCGTCCCATGGACAAAGACAGAGAGCCAGCAACGGTCCCATGTGCTTCCTATCCTTCCGGCTCTGAATGGCTCTGCAAACGCTTGTACGATGATTTGAATTCCTGCCTTGTACATAAGTGGCGCTCAAAGAATACAATGTCCAATACTACCGCCCACCGAAGCCGCCTCAACCAGTGCGAAGGGCCTGGGTGGCCGACCTGCATGCAAAGAGAAGCTGTGGGCCTATGGCGCGGAAGCCCCACAACGCGACACTGTTTTGGGCGGGATTTGTATTACTCTATTCCAATGCTGCCAAAAATGTATGTGTGTGTGTCACATTGTAACACCATCTCCAACATGCAACAGCACGTGGGACAGCTTCTTCCATCTGGCTTCGAGTCCTGTGCCGGGAAAATGCGCCTCTCTCCAGACAACATACACACACACAGCTGAAGCACAGACTTGATCTGAGTCCAAGAATGAACTTGACGTAACAGTGTCAGTACAGATCTGCTTGATCTGTCGGAGTCAATTCATCTGGATCTCAGTTGCTAAGGCTGCTAAGCTGTTCTACACAACTTGGGTATGTACCAATACAAGTAACAGTGGATGATGATTAGTGAAGGCCTGCCTCAAACCAGTGATAATCTCTTACCGACTGTTACTGGCAATGGACTACACCGTATATTTATTACAACTTAATACTTCAGGCTCAATTGGCCTTGCCGGCCTTGCTTGTTCGTCCTCCAGCACCCCCAACCGCGGCGTCCTTGCTGGCGATCCTTTGTTCTGCGTCATGACCTGGGCGATGAAAGAACACAGTTGCACGATGTCGCAAGCAACAGGCATCTGTTGACTCGAACTGGAGCTGCTCTTCCACCTGTCTTACATGTCCAAGCACTAAGTCACTAGGATTAAATAATTATGACATGCTGGTGCTGCATCAAAACCCTGTATAGACCTGATACAATGGACTATGCAAACAATTGCCGTTTAATCAGTGTCACACACGAAAAACAAATGCACATGTATACATAATAATCATATACGATCATTTAAGTGATCATTTATAAAGGTGTTGATTGCAAACATTACAGACCAATGACCAATGGCCTGTATTTGCTGCACTTGCGTCACGGTTGGTCCGTCCAGGCCTCTTCGCGCGTTTTCTCATGCACCCCCGCTGATCTGACCCTTGGAATGGCCCTGGAAGAAATCACAGAAATTGTGAAAAGTGTTGTTTCGAGCCTGCACCGGAGTGTCGCTGTCATGATGAATGGCTATGAGACAGCGCAAGTTGAGGAAATGTTTGTTGTTGATGTATGTGCCCTTCTGTTTTGTTGTCTACTAGTGCTAGCACAACAATGCCTCAGCCAAAAAGCGGTTGGGCGGCCAAAAGAGTTGTTTGCTCACCGCTCGTTGCTTCGTCCTTTCGACATCTGAATGTGGCTTTGTGCCCGTCGACGAGCGACCAACACACGACGGTTGAATACCTTTGAACTTCCAAAACCGCTTGATGAATATTGAGTCCAACGTGATGAACACATCACCTGAGTATGTAAGGAACGAAAGTCCGCTCGTCACAGGTGCTGGCAACCAATCTATCTATATTTGGAGTCGAGGTTGGTGCCGTGTGGGCGAGACAGGACCTTCTCGGTCCCTAGTCAGCATCGACAGGAGTTTCCGGCATGATCTTATACATTTTTAGATACTATCCTATTAAATTATATATATATATAGCTAGCTCAATCTTGGTTTTAAAAGAATGTAAACATATGTAAACATTGTAAACAGGAGAATCCTGCAAGCGAATCCTCACATCATCCTTCGAACCATTTCCCACCCCCAACCTGCAAGACTCTGCAAGACCGGAACAGGGGGACCGACTGTATGGTCATCGGAGTGTTGAGTGGCACACGACACGGAACACCATCGACGATTCGCGGATCTTCGGCCGGTTCTGACGATCTCGTCTCCACTGGCTTTCATATCTGAACGCTACTAGGAACAAGGACGCTACTTGGGGCTCCTGGCATCGCTACTAGGAGCAAGGACGCTACTAGCTTTCATATCTGAACATTGAAACACCTCGTCGGTGTGGTCTCCAACTGTTTGTCCTCCTTGCCTTCACCGCCAGGAATTCTCGACGAAGCGGGGGTGCTGCATTGGCCGCTGGCTCCTCCTGAGGTGTCGCCATGAGGTCGCAGCTCTGAAATGCTTCCGTTTCGTCCCAGTTACCTTACCGTCCTATATCGACGCTTGATATTCCGATGTACAAAATTGATCAAAAGTGATCCAAAGGCTGGAAGTTTCAGGAAGCATGTGGAGGATGTGGGAGAAAATGATCGAACGCCTGCCCCGCAGGAAAACTCCATCCGACTCTGTCCTTCTTAAACAGAAACATCACACCATGGCGACAGTTGGAAACGTGAATCAACCAAAGACTTTGTCGCTTCCGAAAGCTGTCGCAGTCTGTGACTCGCGATTCGGAAAATCCCTCCAAAGCCCTGACGCGTTTCTTCGCGTTTCTTGCAGCTCATGTCCAAGCTTGTGCACCCAGAGGCAAACGAGGCAAACGAGTCTCAAAACCGAAAACCGGATCAAGTCTCAAAAACATGCAAGCCTAGAGACCACAAAGGGCAGTCAAGTGCAAAACCTAAGACCGAAGGCCTTTGTATCGCCTTCTGCCTTCTTCTTGTGTTAAAATGCACCAGATTGGACCACCTGGCCAAATCGATGCCAGGTAGACTTTCCCAAATCCAAGCACGATGGCAAAGCGGGAAGCATCACACTGCATAGGTACCTCTGCACCAGTGTAGGTTCTAGATCAATGCTAGAATCCACCAGTCTTGCGCATCAAACGGCGGAAAAAGCGACGATGTGCAGGAAGTATCAAAACCGCAGGCTGGCAGGACTTTGCTCGGGGCACCGTGATCCGCTGTAGCACTTTGCTGATGGCACGGAGATGTGCAGGCACCTCATGTAGTGGGCAAAGTTCCACCAAGTCGCCTGAAGGCTCTGCGGGACCACTGCGCATAGCGCTGTCAAGGATTTTCTGGAAGCCAAAAAGTCAATTCAAAAAAAGCTTTCAAGCAGTTCAAGCGGCTTTCAAAGCTTGTAGCACAATAGGCAATATGGAACATCATCGCTCATCCCGATCCCGCCTTTCTCAACATCGATCGAAGAGAAGACCCCGCTGTCCTTTCCGCTTTGGTCTACACCTGATTGAAACCCTTCCAGTGTATCGAAACGGTGTACTAATATCTTGCATGACAGGTTTTCTGGGGAAAGGCCCACAGTTGCCAGAGCCATACCTCTTAGAATAAATACTCGAATGGATTGAATTGGGACAGATCGTCTTCTGCGCTGCTACATCTTAGTTAGTGCAACTCTTCATTGTTAATTACCGTTACCAAGTCTTAGCAGCTTAGCGTGTCCCAATATGGTCCAGCGCTGCTCTAGTTCATACAGCTGACACAAACTCCTGGCACCGGGCGAAATTCCAGGGGCTTGTAGCCACCTCGCAGAGCGCGCACCAGCCTGTTCGAGGCATGAAAGAGCTATGCCAAGAGCATCCTGTGCGCAAAAGAGGAGTGCCATCCAGTGCTTGGGCCACTTAAATATCCTTAAATAAGAACCCTTTTCAATCATGATGCCCACGTCATCCCAAGTCCACCTTCTTGTTTCATCTTTTTTCGCTCAACGAAGCATCGTCCACCCTTTTCCACCATGTCGCTCCATGCAACAAGCATCACGAAGCTAACTACGTGGTGCTGGAAGCGCGAGATGTCCGCATGTTCGAAAGTAAGAACAAACATTTGGCCTATGGTTGTGGTATGTTGTGGTGGGGGAGCCGTCGATATGATTCCATTCTGCATCGGAAAGTTCTCACACACACACAAAGAGGCCCGCTTTGATTCAATCAGCTTGAACTTGCACAGTGGACTGGGATAAAACGAACAAAAACCCATCGGCATTGGCATTCTACCGGGCTTCGCCTCACGCGTGTCGACTTCGCCTCACGTGGGTCGACGGTCTCGCCCACCCATCACCACACCTCTTTGAACTCCGCATTAATGAGGACTCTCGGCTGGGCCGAATAAATCCCAAGCTGCCAAGGTAGATGTCCACCTGTGCTGTGCCCCGTGCAGGCGCTGACAGGATCTGAAAGCTTACCCTGAAAACCTTCAAGGACCCTTCAGCACCTCAAGCCAGGTGTCAAGGTCTTCTGGAAAACCCCGCCCTACAGCCTCCGAGATGGTCCAAAGCACTGCTTCTCGCGGCAGTGTTACGTCCTGAGGCAGGTGCGTTGCGAGGAGGGCCAGTTGCGAGCCCTCGTTTTGCAGAACTTCTGTTCGATCCACCCCAATGATTGCTATTGTTCAGTGCTGCGGACCAGCTCTTTGCATGCTTCACAGTAGGGCGTACACCAGGTGGAGTTACGATCACACCATTGAGTCATGTCAGGTGGCGTGGCAAGTGGTCAAAGTCTGGAAGATACAAAGCATGCAAAATACCAAGGGATATCAAAGAGTTGAAGCGTCAAACAGACCCTTAAGCCTGATTAGCCAAGTCTCACTGTGCCGATATGCCACAAGACGATCCTGGCACCAAGGCAGACAGGGATGATTGCCACACGACGTCTAGCCGCTACTAGCCGCCTAGCCAAGACTTGGATAGCAAAATACTCTGCTCAATTGTGCGCTGACATGTCAAGCTGATCAGTCAGGATGATGCAGCACCCTCCCTCGAAGAGCAAAGAAGCTTGAACCCAGGCAACTGGGGACCACTGCACCCCACACGACGTTCAGCGCCATCTTTTCTTTCTAGCCTGCGGTGAACATTTTGTTCGTTCCGCCCTGCTAGGTCACACCTGAGGTGCATACAGTACGATCCTGGCGTGCCCACGTGGCGGGCCTGCCAGACCCTTGTTTAAAGTTGAACCTGAATAAGGTCTTCAAGCTCGGAACTGCCTCCAAAAGCGTCTGCTGAAATACGCGAGGCCTTCAAAATGGTTTGCGCGCAGCACCCGCGCAGAGTGTGTGTAAATTCTCCTCGTGCACGCTACCAAAAGGTCCTAAGGGTCCTTTCGTCTTGGTCTGTGAGTCCACAAGCTTCTTGAAACGTTGCGATGCCAACAAAATGGTTGCAGATATGCGCACCTTGCTGGGTGCTGGCCGGAAGGCCAAGGCATGAGAGACCTGCGGCGGCCAACCCCATCATGGACAGACTTGGTAGAATGGGGGAGCACTTCAGCACTTCAGAACACCACGATCCCGATACTTCTTGGTATTTACACATGTTTGCGGTAGTACTCCAGGCATCCCAGTGCGCATGAGCTTACAATCCTGAATACCTTGATTGAATGTCAAAGGGAACTTATTTTGATGTGGTTTTGATGCAGAACAGGCTACCACCAGCGTGCGCAAAACAGTGTCTTTGTGAGCATTTGTCAGTTGTGAGCATGTGTGAGCATCTGCCTACAATCAATACAATTCATAAAACGAAAAAACAAAAGTTCAGACCTATGTCTCCTGTCCAGCCTCTCCTGGGTATCCCTCCGTGGGTCTGAACTTCTTGTTTTTTTGCTGTTTTTGTGTTGGCTGGTCTGCCCAAAAGTAAGCAATGTGTTTTTTCATTTCTGAGTGACCACTAGTTCAATTCTAATTTAATTCCTTAATTTTTGACTTAAATACAACTTAAGTTAATTTAAAGTTCACTTAGATTCAAACTTGAATGTAAATAGAAATAGACGTGAATTTCAATTAGAATAATAATTGACTTAGAATTTACTTAAGTAACTTAAGTAAATTCTAAGTCAATTATTATTCTAATTGAAATTCACGTCTATTTCTATTTACATTCAAGTTTGAATCTAAGTGAACTTTAAATTGAATTTAACTTGAATATGTAACACACTTCTACGTTAATTCTAAGTTGGGCCTAATTGAATTCTAAATTAGGTCTATGTATTTTAAAATTCACTGTAATCAAATTATAATTCAATGTGTATTCTAATTTATGTCTTGTATAATTGATTATGTTTGGCTACCCTGGATCTAATATTAAATTCAAATTTGAGTGTACATGTGAATTTGCAACATGCTTCTAATTTCTTTTAGTTGAGCATAACTGAATTTTGCAATTTTAATTAATTGAATTTAAGTAAAACTGTTTCACTGTCACTACTGTTCTACTAAAAGTCAATTTCAATTTAAGTAATGGATTTTATTTGATGTTGTTCATTCAATTCCAACTTAATTCCAATTTATTTCTAGGTTAATTCTATTTCATTCTATAATGTTAGTGCCCTTGTACAATTCAGATTCAATCGCTTTACACATCTAATTTTACACTATTGTCATTGCAATTTAATTTTGATTTCTATATGTCCATTTTAGGTCTAAGTTGATTTCATTCTAGAGAGTGGGTGTTGCTGGGGGTATGAATTTATTGCATGTAAGAAAGCAAATGCTTCCATGTTGGACAAACTTAATAACAATCCCTCATGCTGAAAACAACACCAATGACCTAGAAGTAAATGAGAATTTCATAAAACCAAAAGTTAAATTGAAAAATATAATATTAGAATTGAATCTGATTTGTATAGCAAGGAAATGAAGGTAGCTTGCATTGAATCCCACATAAATTAGAACCTATAGTGAAGGAAATGTGAATCAAAGTAGAATTAAAACATAATTGAAATAGAGTTAAACTGAATTTAAATAGATTTGAATTAAGTAAGAATCAAATTAGAATTTGGTTATTTAGGTTGTGTATTGATTTGCCTTCTGATTCTGATGTACTTAACCAATTGCATCCAAAAAAAGCAATGCAATTCACACTCTAAAGGCAAGAAATATGGTTTTGCATGGGGGCTGCGTGGAATTACATTACTACATCCAATTTTTTTTTGCAAACACCTAACCTTATGGATTTAGTCTTTTTGTAGTACAGAGTTGAATGAACAAATATGCCTACCAACTGCACATAGAGCAAAAAACACAAATTTCACCATCATATCAATGTGATATCATCACCAAAAAGCGCAAAACCTTACAAAAAATACAACTTTCACAACCCTATCAATGTCATATCATCTGCAAAAAGAGAAAACTTTCAAAACCCCCACCCCCCATGACTACCTGCTCTCTTATTTTTATTGCATCTATATATTGTTCCTCCTATGCTATATTTTCTACTGTATTGAATATAACTGAATCTCTTAAGAAAGCGCACGCTCACAGTGGCCAGCTCTCTTTTGATGTGGGACGTGTTTAGCAGTTGAGCTAAGGGCGAGCTAAGCACTTCGAGTTCAGAGCTCAGGATTGCCCACGGGCACAAGCCTCCAAAAGCCGTTCCAAATGGCCCACGAGCCCCTGGATTTCCTGCACATCTGTGATGCCATGGCGTCGAGCCACCTGCTCCAGGTTGCAGCCTGCAAACCAAATCACTTGCATTTCTATCATGCAGTCAGCACCTTCGTCCAGTTTGCCCAACAAAGCTAAAACGACACACACAAACAAAAGAACAACAGTCCGGGCAAATGCCAAGAATGCATGAAAATGGAATGATTTCCGCATGCCATCTTCAAAGCATCCACCTGAAACCAATCTGCACAATAGCATCATTGATTCCGAGGGGCCGACGCAGGCGAACGACCTATCGTGCCACATCGTGCCTGCGCTCAAGGAGTTTGGCTCGTCCAGCAGGAACTCGGGCTTGGCCTGGATCGGTTGCGATTTGTTCCGCAAACGAAACGTCACTGGCCCAAATGCTCCTGGCATCGCTACTAGGAGCAAGGACGCTACTAGGGGCTCCTGGCCTTACTGCAAGGAGCAAAGACGCTACTAGGAGCAAAGGGCATCGCTACTAGGAGCAAGCACGCGCGTGGCCATGCTACACTAGAATGGCATATGTCTTATAGGACAGGTGTCCTTGAGTGCTACTTGGACAAAAATGCAACCCCTGTCTACAACTGACTCCGTCAGTGTCCCTGCTAAATGGAAGAAAATTGACCTTTTTCCATCTGCTGTTCATATTAAGTGGGGAAACTAACCAAACATTTGTTAAAAGGAGGATCCTGACGATCTTTATGTTCCAGTTAGCTGAACAGTTGGATCCTCCGTGATCTCACATGATCGTCCTTGTTGTCCATCCTCCAGGTCCATATCCATCGGAACAAGATTTGATATGTTTTGATCCTGTCTCAACATGCACCGCATCATCTTTACAACTTTACAACTGCAAGCCCGGTGTGGAGCTCGCGGCGTCCGGAGTGGGAGGTCTTTAGCCCCAAGTCCTGCAGCAAACCTCCCGAAAAGTGTTGCTGCATGTTGACTTTGAACTTTGAACAGTGCCACTGCCAAACTCCTAAAAGCTGGAACCTGCATTTCTTCAAAAATTGGAAGCCAGCCCTGCTCAGACTAAGTATCAGAGCTAAGAAGTCGCAACGCTAGTGGCTTCCAAGCTAGCCAACACTGCATGGGCACTCCGTTCACCAGACTCCAAAGCACCCTCCATGTAGCCTCGCCAGTGATGAGCATATTCGGTCCCAGCGAAGCTGATCCGTCCGGTCTTTGGGAAAAAGCCATTGGACAACTTTTTCCACTGACCCACTGCAGGGCTGGACACATAAGCACCTAAGGAGTCTTCATCAGCAATCCAGTTGTGGTAATGAAAGGACTGGATGTCCTCCTCTAGGGACCCAAAAGAAGCACTCAAGAACTCAGCAAAGCCCTTCTTCAGCTCCTCCAGCGGTTTCTGGCAAATCTCCACTGCCTGGGAGCCGACGACAAAACCGGCCAAGACGCCATTGCCAGTTGAGTGGCTTAGGTCTGCCACTTCTGAAATATCAAATGTTTGGCTTGACCTTCCCAAAGAGCTGATAAAGCCAGTCAGTCCGCGCTTGCGCCACCAAGGGCTTGGAAAGACTGCGACGAGCTTCACTACCTGCCCCAAGACCATTGATGAAGCCACTTCGCTGTACTGGCTTGGTAGGGCAGGCTGGAAGTGGATTCGCTGCAGTAGCTGCGGCGGGAATGCTAAGATCAACTCCTGTCCGGCATAGATTCTGCCGTTGTTGGCCTTTACCACAACCTGACCTCCAGAAGTGTCCACTTCCACCACACGTGTGTTGAGCTCGATGTCAGCTTCAAACTCCTTGGCCACTTCCACGAAGATGTTCCTTGGATTTGCCGATTTATGCTAATTGCTGAAGGGCCTTAATTAAGGTCTTTATTCAGTTGTTAGTTATGTTATATAGTTGTGTTAGTTTAAACATCTCCCGAAAAATTGCCTGAACTAAAGAGGGGGTTGTCCAAATGGAAAGGAAAATCAAAATATACAACCTGATCGACCAAACCCAGGTTCTGAAGCCCTTGATCAAAAAAGTACTTCTCTGCGTTCTCTTGTTGCTCGAATGATCCGCAGGTCTTCAGGGTGTGCGCAGCGGAGTAAACGGAAATCTGCTTAGGGTCGCGGCAAAAGCCTCCTTTCAAGAGCTGAAGACACAGAGTGATGGCACCGCCGGTCCATGAGCGCTTCTCCACGTAATCACCCACACTCATGTTGTCATACTCTTCCAAATCCGGCTTGAACCCATTCAGCGAGATTCGCTTGCTGATTCTGCTGATCCTCCAAAGTCTCAGCATAAAGTCTAGACCAGAGAAGAGTCCAACACCATAGCTGCCCGGGGAATGAAGTTTTTTTGTCGCATCTCTCCACACCACCGCTTTTCCTGCAAGACTGTGTTCTAGCTTCCTGAATCCATAAGTTTGCACAAGCTTCTCCAATCGATCATGACCGGCTGCCGCCTGCCACTGGGCACCCAGTTCCACATGACTTCCGGAGGGTAGCTTTTCGCTGTAGATTCGACCTCCAACTCGATCCCGAGATTCCAGAACCACCACCTTCTTTCCTGCCTTGTGCAGGATAGAGGCCGCATTCAATCCAGCGGCTCCAGCCCCAGCGATGATGACATCAACTTCCTTGTAGGCCATAATTTCGCTATCAGCTGCTCAACTTTGGGGGACAAGGTTTCTTGGCTCCAAATTGGCTGAGGAGACACATGCAAAACATCTCAATATCTGGCATGACCACCAATCCAAGTCATCTAGTCCAACCCCAGGGCCTCCCTGCGCCTTGTTCCCTCTGAGCTGTTTCATCTGTTTCCGCCCGATCCGTCGCCTCCCCGGCGTTCCCCCCGGCTTGGCCTTGGGACCTCTGCTGGACTCGCCGAGGATCTTCCGCAGCTTGGGCGCCAGGTCCGAGGCCAACACGCTCGAGCGGCTCAGCGCGAAGTTCACGTCGCGCAGCAGCTCCTCCACGGTGCGCTCCCGGAAGTGGCTCTCTGTTGGCTTCATGGGCTTCAACTCAGGAACTCGAGGCAGCGGGTGCAAGCCGAACTCACAGGAACTCACAGCCAGAGATGGAAGAAGAAAAGAAAACTATTTGGACTCTGATTGACGAGAAGTTGACGAGAAGTAGCAGGTGCTGTCCCATGAAAGAGGGTTTGATCGCCTTCCATGCCCACTATCTGTCTGCACTTCAAGCGACGTACTCTCGAGGCTGAAGTTGATGCAGCCACTTACTGATGCGGTAGTTCACTGTTGCCACCATGTAGCCTCTGACAACTGGTGGGAGACGTGTTTCCACCACCAAGACATACCAAACCATGTGATGGCACAACACGCAACATGCTCCAGTCTGACGTCTGTTTTCTTGGAATGCGGCTGATTGCCTGATTGCCAAGGAGCCGATCGAGCTAAGTCGCTCAAAGTTGTCGGGCTCCAGGAGCATCTCAGGCGCCTCTTTGTGACCTTGGAGGAGGAACTGGAACGAGAACGAAAACGCCAAGCTGGGAGGCAGAAACGCACTGCTGGGAGATTGCTGCAGGGAGTCGTTGGCCACCATTGCCTCAGAATTTAGTCTAGCTGCTGAGCCTATTTCTCCCAAAAGGGCTCTTGGCCAGAAGGGAGGGGTGAAGGGTGACAAAGAGAAAGAGGCGTATTCGGGAAGAGGAGGAGAGAAGGCAAGCACACAAAATAGACTGGGTGGGTGGATGGGTGGGTGGGTGGGTGGGCCGATGCTCGAATGCCTGAAGGGAGTGCGTGCGTGCGTGCGTGCGTGCGTGGCATCCACGGTGTGTGGGGATGGCATCAAAGTCCTTGCCAGGTTGCAATCACGAATGCGGCTCATAAACTTCAGAACGCGCATCACAGTCTGATCCATCAGGCTCTGGACTCGGCCACATATCTCCACGAAAGACCTGCCACATGATTTGAGCCTGACCCAAAAGGCGTATGTAGCAGGCTCTTCCCAACAAACCAACTGTTATGCTGAGCGTGGGGCAATATAATCCTTCTTAGGCAGTTCCGCATGTCGGGAATTTGGAACTTTTTTCCGTATTATATGTACACAGTGCCCTGGCCAATTTCATTGTAGGAGCTTTCTTTCGATCGACCCAGAGCACGTGATCACGTGAACCGATAAGCCACAAATCAGTTCTTTCTCCACGTCTCAGCCTGTCACAGTCGTCCCCTTCCATGACCAGTCGGTTCGAAGCCCTTCGAACCATGGGTGCAGCCCATTTCGGGGAGCATACGTCCTTGACCAATCGTGTGCGAAAAAGAATCAACTCAACAAGTCTCATGTATCCAAACATGTCCTTCTTCAACAGAGTGTCACACCTGAACCTCCCATTCCTGCACAACCTGTCGCACCCACTCCGACACTCTGGCCGTGGCGGTGTGAACAACGAAGAAAAGGAACCGTCCTCCTCACAGGCCGAGAGGTCCACCGTCCAACGGCGGCGAGCCACGGCTTGAGACCGAAGTAGCACAGCTGAACCAGATCGAGCCCTCAGTGGAAAGCTCAGATCGAGGCCACACACGGCTTGGGGGGAACCGGTGTGCGGATCGGGGCCCTGCCGGCCCCCCAGCCCAAAGCACTATCATTGACGCGATGTTGGAAACACTGGAAATCGCCCCCCTGCCATTTTGGGGAATTTCGGAAATGCATAAGTGCCCTTGGATCAAGCATAGGCCTACCAGGCCTGTTCAAACAAAGCAAAAACACACTTACTGTAGAGAAACAGAGAAACAACCATAAGGGATTCGTGATGATTCGTGGGAGGTGGGGAATGATTATCATCAAATATCATCAAAACAAATAGAGGTAGAGGTATCGTGATCGCGATAGATGTTGCAAAAGCAAAAAACCTTGAGCAAAATCTCAAGAGTTGCCACCCAGCCGAGCATCAAGGAGGAGGAAGGCCGGCCTTCTGATGTTTGCCCCTCTTGAGAAGCTACAATCGGAGGCAGCTTGGGACACAAATCATCTGCATCTCGCCCATCAGTGAAGGAGGCTTGGGTGCCTTTTCGCGACATCATGGGACGCACCGAGAGGATCTCGTCCATCTCATCGGGCTGCTCCCGAATCACAGGGACCTCAGGGATGGCAGGGCACTAGGGTCTTAGCGCCACTTCTTCGGATCAATTCTACTCGCCAACATGGTGGTCTGCGATGGTTTCGACCTGTTTCGATGGTTTTGCTGCACAACTCTCTCAACTCTTAGAATGCAAGAGCTTCACCTGCTTCTCCATTTCGTGGCTCCTCTTCCAATGAAGTAGCGGCATCGAGGATGTCATTGGCTCTTTACCACTTTTGGCTTGCCCGCTAACTGGGGCAGCGCAATGATGCGAAACTGAGCCTAAAACTTGGCACGCGATCATGCATAAGATACTTAAGGCAACAAGATTGGAAGAATCACCGATGGAGAAAAACCCATGGGATGCCGTTTGGAGCCTCCACTGAGTCTTGATCGGCCGGTGTCAAATGTCCCTTGGATCGATGAAAGCCATGCGCACCAGCAGGGCCACCGGCTGCAAGAGTACGGGAAACCTGGCCGGGCTCCGAACTACATTGTCTTCTCACATTCCTTGACCCTGCATGCCATGTGTTGCAAGGGAATCCATGGGAAAATAGGTGCTTCATGACACTGGTGCTGTGCATTCTCCACCTGACCGACTGACCGACACCTGTTCAGGTCTCTCCCTACCCTCTGTCCATGCCGTTGCGTCGCATTGAAACGCTCGAGTCACTGAGTTTATCTCTTGTAGATCAGTATATTATCCGTGTGGCATTGATAATCGCTAGGCCACGAAGTGTGCTTGGCTATGGCCCAATGGCGGCTAACTACGTCTTCTTCTCAAACGACTCAGCCAAGTCAGATGCATCTTGCTTTGTATGGAGATACATATATGGCACAACTCTCTAAAACACCACCACCACCACCATTTTTCTCTCCGATCCCAACATGGAGGGCTCACCCCTTCTGATGACCGTCCCACATCATCCACGCCTTGGCTTCTCAAACGTGCGAGCAAAAGAATGTTAAACACAATGTTGAGGGGGGGGGTAGGAGCAAGGATGTCTAGGGGCTCCTGACATCGCTACTAGGAGCAAGGACGCTACTAGAGGCTCCTGGCATCCAATCATTAGCTGTGCAGTTCATCTTGCGCCTCGTCAGCACTCTTGCTGATGCTTTGCAGCCTCCAACGCAGCTCCAAAAGAAAACATGGAGACGAAATAAGGTGCTTGAGCGGTTTCCTGTGTGGCCACATGTAGTGTTCAGAGCCCATCTTTTCTCACATGCTCAGACTCACAGTTTCGTCCCACGCTGTCCGGTCACCGTTTCGTCTCGGCACGGTCATTGTTCCGTGGAGACGTGTTGGGACGGGACGACATCGGTTCCGCGTGCGCAGCTCGTCCAACGCCATGTCGACGTGCCGTGTCCTCAGGGCTTTGAAGGCTGTGTCTCCCAGTCGAACTGGCTTCCAATGAAGGCGTGGTGGTTTTTTTGTTTTGTTTTTGTGCTTCCCCGTCTTGGATGAAATGGGCTGCCCATCAAAAAAAACTGTGTTATCAGCTATCGATCATCATGATCATCAATTATCATCTCTGATGGTACTTGTTTGTCCTGCAGGTCTTTTGGCTCCCTGATCGCGAGGCTCGCGATCTTCGCTCGAAGATGTAGCAGAACTCACCTCTCAACTTCCGATGGGCACTGCGCCAAGGACCTGCGCTGTATAGGACTTCTTCAGGACAGCTTGGGCCAAGGTCAACATAGACCCACGCTCTCCTTCTGGACTCCTTTCTGGACCCTTTGATCCGGGCCTTGGGCTGGAAAAAGCGGGGCTCGATGGCCCACCAATCTTTTGGCACACCCTCCTGCCATTGCATGGAATCAAAATGACATCAAACAACGGCCACTCCGGGCTGCTGGAACTTCCACCAGCACCATAACGTGACTGTGGAACGTGTTTAAGATCTAATCATAGATCTACAAACCTAACTCTGACTCCGCTCTCCTTTTCAAACAGGACATCATCATGCTTGTGCTCCTGCCAAGCCTGGCAAGGACGTCGAGCATGACGCCCCCAGCACCCCCCCACAAAAGAAAACGTTCAAATCCAGCTTCCCAGCTTGCTCACCAGGGTCAAGCATTGACATGTCCAACCTAAGTAGCCTAAGAGCGCAATTAGGATTTGCAATTGCAATTCTCAGCCCTGGAACAGTCAACAATGTCCTATCACAGGTCCATCCTGCACTTGCCGCATCTCACTGGGATAGTCTGCTGTGCGAGGAGGATGGTGGCATTGGACTGCATCGATGACCTTCAGCCGAACACTACCCCATCTCAATGGAAAGGAAGCCTTTAATCGGTGCTGGGTCCGAGGGGAACTGCACCAAGTGCAGCCTCGCTACAGCAACCACATCCCTTCCTCCACCAGCAGCAGGATGGAAGCAGAAATCAATAAAGCAACCTGCTGCATCTCAAGTCAAAACACCTATATGAAGATCCTGAAACAGGCGACCTGTTCGCACAGCCCGCAGGCACGGCTGGAATCGCGCATCCAGCAGCATTGAGCTCTTGAGCACTGGGGCAGTACCTCCAGGTGGACAAACACCTCTGACTGTGCCACCTTTGACTAGGTTCTCAGATGTTCTCAGCTACCCCTTCTCCCTCTCTTTGCTCCATGCATCGCACATTCCACGAAATTCGTGTATCGCAGCTTCCAACCTGGGCATCACGACGAGTTCCGCGGACCTCGTCGTGGCGAGCTCACGGCGGAACGAGGTGGCCAATCGGGTGCATTGCTCGCTGCTTGTCTGGTGCGCTTTCGTTGTTTTTGGGGTGGAATGGCCATGGAGAAGCCGTGCATGCAAGAAGAACAACTGACCAAAGGGGGACAGCTCGCTTCCCTGACACCCTGAAGCAAGGTGCGACCCTCCCGATGGCACTAAAATATGATTGCTATTGCATTGTAGATATTGTAGTTTACACTGCTCTTCAGCACAACCCTCAAGCCTAACTCCGGGCCAAGACGCGGGGATCATGCCCATCAAAGAAGCGCCAAACACCATCGCTCCCCTGCGATCACAGCTCAAGAAGCCCCAACGCACTCGGCTACTTGACAACAACTTGATTTGGCAGTCATGTCACACCCACGAGCCACCAATACCAAAAAATCAAATGTCTTCCCCATTGAAACCCCCGGACCTTGTCAAAGGATGGGCAAGCGAAGGCTATTTGGCTGTGTTCTCGTCTCGGATAGGAAAGCCAGCAGAACGGGATAGAACGGGAATCTTAACACCATAGATCCCACGCCCATGTTAAGAGAATTCCTCTTCTGCATGTACACCTTTTCTCATTGAAGATGAAGAGGTGCCAAAACTCCACACGGTTCTTGCAGTAGTGTTTTCGGTGCCCGACTGAAATACATCCAGCCCAAATCTGTTGGAACTCTTGGTGGCGCTGTCGACGTGCGAGGTGTCCACTGAAAAATCATGTTGTAACTGTGTTTCTAAACTTCTGGCTTTTGCTGCATTTAGCTGCGGCCCAAATCACAAAATCTGGAACATGCGGGAAATCTCTGTGGTGGGGAGCCGTACATCATCATCCACGACCCAAATGTAGTCCTGAATAGCCATCAAAACAGGTTAAAGCAGAAAAAAATCTCCCGAAGGAACCGAGGCAATGACATATCTTGCAGCAACCTTCTCCGCCCCACCCTGCAGTTCCAGCCAATACCGGAAGTTGGGCCATTTCCTCAATGGCAGGGAACCGTGACCAACATTTGAGATGAAATAGTGAGATACCATGATCAGCGATGAGTGAGGCAGAACTTCCCATGTCTTGTGCCCAGCATCATCCCTTCATGCTGAAGCACTTCCATGCCTGCGATGACAAGCTTACATGTGGAGTGAGAGCCAATATAACTCCTTGCCAGTCCCGACGTGAAGCAAGAGAAGAAGCACAAGGCCAAACTGCAATCCCACTGCCACTGGCGGGTCGGGACTTTAATTGGGAATTTGTGTTGTTTTTGATTGTTTTGTTTGTTTTTTTGGTGGTCTGTGTGGTTCTCAAGGGGAAAGGCATTACAAGTAGAGATTCTGTCTAGAAGAGTCATCAAAAGCAAAGAATGCAATAGAAAACTCATCAAAAGAGAGAGTTCAATATAAAATTCATTTAAAAATGTAGTGTTTTTACTAGAAAACCCGTTGATATTTCAATATAATATATATATATATAACTATAGTCCGACATCGATACAAAAGCCAAAACCCACACAGAAGCCAAAAGCCGCAAAAGCCACAGAACCCAAAAGCCACACAGGAGCCAAAAGCCACAAAAGCCACGAAAGCCAAAAGCCACAGAAGCCAAAAGCCACAGAAGCCAAAAGCCACAAAAGCAACAAAAGCCAGAAGCCACAAAAGCCACAGAAGCCAAAAGCCGCCAAAGCCACCTAACCACTACAAACAAAAAAAACATTTACTGTACTGTAAAAAAAAGGATCACCCTTAAAGTCACCCTCCGCCACTGCCTGTTATTTCTTGACTCAGCATGTTCAGTTCGTGAAGCACTGGCGAGTCTGGCTCCTTGTAGAACCTCGGAAACCGTAATCTCATGAGGCAAGCCGGCTTCAGCCTCAGCCACTCAGCGCCTGACACTAGTGCCAAATCAAAGTCAGCATCTCGCGTTTGTAGCCTCCAGCAAGTCCAGCTTCAATTGATCTATTACCTGCCGTATCTACAGTACATTGGGGATAGGGACTGGCTTGAATGGGCATTGGAACTCCGTTTGCTGGGGCCTCTTCGAACTTGAGGTCTAACAACAAACATAGTAAAGCGATGTATGAAGTGCAGCTGATAAGCCAGCTCCGCACCACTGGAAGGCATTGATTGCCAACCTACAGCAAGTGGCACTGCTTTGGACTCGATGAATGTGCAAAAATTGACCAATGGGCCAATGGATCCTGAAAACACAATCTCACATCCTACAATTTGGCCCTTACACTCGCCAGCTCACCTAGACAAACTCTCATCATCCGTCGTCTATTATGTCTACTTGCAATTCTAGTAGCCACCTTAGCCCGCCACGGACGAGAAAACAAGGCCCCGCGATTTCGGGACTGGCTCAACACACTGTTCCTGCCATCACGCTGCAAGCTTGATATGACCCTATGGGAACATGCACCTTTCCTCTCCAAAAGTCCCCATTTACACAAGGCCAAAAACCAAAAAGCACAGATTATCCACCTGGTTCCTTCAAGAACGCGCATCGCAAAACGAAACACATTGGCCGCCAGCTGAGTTTCTGCCCTCCGATCTGAGTAAATTGTCTTTTGAATTGTCCGGTGCCTCTGTCGTGCTTCGTGCCAACGTGTTCAGCCCGTGTCCAGCGACCAGCTCCATGAGGACCCCGGAACCGGAGAATCCGCCATGGAGCCCTCAGTGGACATGCAACCAGTGTCGGGCTCATGGATTGGGCATTCCGTGTCCGTTCTGCATCACACAAACTCTGAATGATATTGATATTTCAATGTTTGATATGACAAGGTTTTACCAAATGGGAGGGGTTGTACTCATCAAAAGTCTACACTAGGGACTCCCTGTGTGTTTGAAGTGCAGAACCTGCCTTTAGGCTCTGAAATGCAAGCACGGCACCGGCATTGAGTCGGGTCACCTCCGGGCCTCCGCCGCTCCAGCTGAGGCGTAGAGACTCCTGTCAGGAGTTAAATCTCAACACCACTAGCTTGCTGTGGATGAATGGTGGTGACACATCTCCGGGTTACCCACCATACCCGCCCCCTACATCTGCCCACCCACGCGTGCACCCCATTCCGTCAAAAATGCAGTAAGCAAGCGCACACGAGGTACAAGAAAAGCCCAGTGAACAGCGGCTCCCATCGCACAAGCACAGAATGGATTTTGCGGCGAAACCGCCTGCGAAGCCTTGTCGACGGGTCGAGCTGCACACGCGGCTCGACTCAGACGTCCAGGAAGAAGCGAATGTCATTCCTGGTTGTTGTTAAGTTCTGCCATATCTCATCAATCACCTGGCTTGCTTCCATGCCAAGGGTCTGAGAACTCTGCTTGCTGCCCATAAGCCACTTCAAGTTGAACTTATATTACCGCTAAGGTCTCAACTGCAGCATTGCCGGCAGCAGGCATCTCCAAGTTGGTACATTGATTTATATATATAGGTTATAAAAATACTTGAAAATTTAGGACAGCGCGGTGGTCGGCTCTGAAGAGATCCAGTGTTGGCGGAAGATGGTATTCTGATCCTCATCTTGGAGTGGCACAGTAGACGTCACAGGTGCGATTCCGCAAATCATGCCAATTTGACCTAGTAGCAATGCCCCTTGTTACTAGTAGCTTCTTGTTCCTAGTGGTAATACCAGGAGCTACTAGTAGCTTCTTGCTCCTAGTAGCGATGCCCTTTGCTACGAATAGCGTCCCTTGTAATGTGTGACTGACTTGTTGGAAAGCTTGGGGAACCTGCAATACACAATGCAGCAACTACTTGTCAGCTCTTTGCATGCCGTGGAGCAAGTGTATGAGGCCCCACCATCTGCAGTGGATTTGGCTTCAGCAAATACTGCCTAGTGTGTCCACGGCTCGCGCCAGTGCGACGATCATGCGCAGTGGGCCAGCTATGGTTAATGCATGTTCACATGTGCATGCCAATGCACATGTTCACCTTCTTCACATGTTCTCCTGTCTCTCCCCGTGTTCCCAGCTTCTGGGAAGCCGCCTCAAGTAGCAGGCCATGATTCCCAAGAACTTCCGACGGTCTGGGGCCTCAGCACACTGGACGCCTCAACTCCCATGGCAGAGGAAACCCGGCTCGCGCAGACGTCCCGCCTTCCTCCGAGCGAAGACCGCGTCTCGATGATCCATCCGCACCAGGTAGAGCCCGTGCTGCGCCAGCAGGTGCTGCCAAAAGGCGAAGTTGGCACCTGAAGGGCGCCAGCAGGTGCTGTGGAACCTGCTACCCTGCAGGCGTGGAAGGCTCGCTACCCCCGGTGGCAATGACCCTTGCTTTGGAACGTAAGGGAGGCCCCAGCCCCAAGAGATATTCTCAATGACCCTCACCTCTGACTTCATCATCAGCAAGTGGCCTCTAGTATAGTCTTAGTAGCGGCTATATTTGGGGAGGAGGCTGGTCATGGCCTCCCCATGGTAGAGACTTGGTGTCGCTGTCCAGGCAAGCATAGCGGAATGGAAAGGGCACGAAGTCACGAATCTCCACCACCACTGCTTTGGGCTGAGTGAGCTTCAACAAAGCCTCTGGCACAAGAGGGTTTACATTCGGACAGGGTATGAAGCCACCACCACACACAAACGTGAAAGCGTCACGACATGACGGTGGATTCTTCCGTGAGCCAACTGTAGGAAAGCATACCAACTTTGGACCATCTGGCCCAGGCCTGGACCATCGGTCCATCAAAGCTATCAATGTCCACTTGTAAGACCTGACAAATGCGTTGTTGTTCCTAGTAGTAAGAATGCTCCTAGTAGCGATGCCAGGAGCCTCTACTAGCTTCTTGCTCCTAGTAGTAAGGCCAGGAGCCCCTAGTAGCGTCCTTGCTCCTAGTAGCGATGCCCTTTGTTCCTAGTAGCGTCCTCCACTTGCAAGACCTTTCCAAAAGCGATACCTTTCCGAATCATCCGATTTTTGCGTGGAGACTGATGGAATCTAGAGTCTGCCTCCAAGTCTTCAACGAAGGCTTTGTACTCCTTCAATAGACTTCCCACGGTGTGGGGTGCAACCTGACAGTGCTCAACAAGCTTGACACTAACATCTTCGTCGCATACAGTAACCACCTAGGACCCATCGCCACCAAGAAGCTGTGATGTTCATGATGAGGCGATTTGGTGCGGAGCTCTGCGCACGAGCCACCCGGATTGCACGGCGATCCATGTCAAGGAACCTTGCAAAGTTGGCAAATCTTGGCAACTTGCTTGTACCCCTGCGACATATCAGTGATCGAAAATCCATATGCTCTCGGTGGTTCATCTCTCGTTGGTGTTCCAAGGCACAAGCCACCAGCACCCTTGTCTATCAAAGGCTGCGTTGGCTCTCCTGCCATCGTGCTACAACCAATCACCAACATCCTTAGCGCAACCAAACACACCTCTTGTCTGCAGCTGTGAGGATGTCATTGGATTCTGCTACGATGGGTATGAGAAAAACATGATGTGATAAGTGATAAGTATATTTGCCTGACCTCTATATAATTGCTCTCCAGGCTCGATTTTGGAGTGGTGCCATCTGGCCACTGGCTATCCCACACATCCGTGACACCTGAAGAAGCAAGTCTGCCTTTGAGACCACAATCTCAAGATTTCAGAATGGTGCAACAATGCTCTTGGCATTCAAGAAGTTTGGGGGAACAAGAAACGACTCTTACAGGCGAAATGCGACTTCCATGAGAACCTGGCACAGTAGCAATAATGAGCAATTCTGAGCGTCTGTCAGTGCATATTTCAGGCATGGCTTCCAAAGCAGTGTCTATCAGAGACCGATCTGAGAGAGAATCGGCTTCCTTAGATGCTGTCACTCGGAAAATGTCTTTGCACAGAAGTGTGACTGAAGCAGCCCAAACACACCCAAACTGAACAGTGTGAAACATCATCCTACGCAACGGTCTTGCAGTCTGACATGTTGCCAATCCCACTTCCTGCAAAGACCTGGCACAGCGAAACTTGGGCTCTGGGCTTCTGGGCGCTTTCTTTACACTTACGTGAGGCGGGCCTTCTCAACCATCTCCCCCACAAGCCAGGAGGATGTAAAACCCGTAAGGGGCTTGGCACTTGCATGAAAGGATCCTCGCCAGGCCAAGACTCGGCGTGCCCATCAACATGCTTTAGTATTGGCGCATGAGAGCTGCTACTTCAGGCACATTATTCATGCTCAACTAGTTCCCGTTGGGACAAAAACATGAATGTGGAACCGTTGAGTTTGTCATGTTCAGTGGAACTGCTCATGTTGTCCAACGCATGAGCGCCTTGTCAAGGAACTCGGAGCAAGAGCCTTGCCCCACCCAATAGTGTCCAATCCTTAGGCTCCAAGGGTCTTCTTGCCATGGCCGGTGCCACTCGCAAACTGTCGGAAGGAGAGGGTTGAGAAAAATTGATTGTTCCAAGTCATCCTGGCCCGGGTTACACCTTCTCGGGAGTTCTTGACTCGACTGTTCCCATCAAAGCTTTAGGAAAGATCAGGACTATGGAACAAAGGACGCTACTAGGAGCAAAGACGCTACTAGTAGTTCCTGGCATCGCTACTAGTAACAAGAAGCTACTAGGAGCTTTTCAAAAGAAACCGGTGTTTGGAGGTGCATCGCCGGCGTAGCTGGTTAGATTGCAAGGGGGGGTGTTGCGACCCTCTCTGAAGTCAGGTTGAATGTGTGGTCGAGAGAGTCCATGCTTCCGTCACCCGGTGCAAGTATGCAAAAAAGAAGCGTATGTAGAACGGAGGAGAATGAAATTCCCGCTATCAGTGCACATGATATTGATCTGCTTGCGAACGCGCCACAAAGATCCCAGGTAGCCATCAGGAGCCTCCCGTTGGGCACAGCTGTACCATGCTCCGTTTGTGACCCTGGTTTGTCTTGGACACTGCTGAGTGCACATCTTGTGATGGGGCTGGTGTTCATGCTCTCAGCAATGACGAGCCGGCTTCCGGCCTTGCTATTGAAGAGGGAGGCCTCAGCAGCAGAATGAGAGCTCTCGTCATGCTTTGGAAGGGCTGGAATGTCTTGATACTCCGAACTGTGTTGTAGCTAAATGCTTAAAGGCTTGTTTTGGTTTTGTTTCTTGGCGGACAGGCAGCAGACGCAGGATCTTTTCGGATGACCTCCGCGTCGAAGAAGCTACAGCCATGCTCAATTGATGGTCCACACTTACTCACCTCAAAAAGCTCAGCAACTGGGCAACACGTTAAGCTGCCGAGCGTTAGTTGGCATGTCAAAACGTATAGTGATCCCCAAATAACGATAGTGACACGGTGTCCAATACATTATTGGTGGGGATCTATATCCTTTTCTATCTATTTGGGGTCTATATCGATTCATGCCAACTGTACCGAGATGCATGATCTTGCAGTTTGTCCATGACGATAGTCTCAGTCTCTTTAAGGCTGCGAGACTATCCATGTAAATACTTTCTTAGTTTGAGGTCATCCACATCCCCGCCGGAACACATTCCATTGGAAGGAGGATGAAGGAGGGTAGACAAGTGAAGACCTTGCCAAAATGGACCCAAGCATTTGCGAACGGCTGGACGAAATATCAAGATTCCATCAAGTGAAGGAAAATTGGTGGCTCTTCAATCAATGCAAATCGAGCATCTTCGTGCAATGACTTGATGCTGAAGCCCTTTTCCAGCAAGTTGGCCTAAAGCCGAAGGGACGACACACTCCTCCCAGTCTGAACACATGACAACACATGTACAACTCTGAAATATGATGCCTTTTACAATCCGGCCGCTTCTGGGCTTTAGTTGCACCAACTCCCTCAAGCAGTCTCAATGTGTAATTCTAAACTGTTGCCCCGACATCGTCTGACATCTCGCTTTGCGGACTGTGCCTAGAATTGTCGAACATCTCAACCACCCTATGGCTTGTTTCGGCATTCATTGTGGTCAAGGCGTCCAGAACCAGTTCCACCCGATGTCCGGTACCGTCCACCGTCCGCTCCCACGCTCCGCCTCCGTGACGCTGAAGACATTGGTCCAGTAGCAATAATCAAAGCGCGACTCGCGCAGGAGCAGGAGCCAATGTCCCGGGAGAAAGCTGACGTATCGAGGTGCCTGGATGAAAAGAGAATGCAGGCAATATGGCAATATGACTTGCTCATGTCATGAGTCACATTTAATCATTACGAAACGACATTAAAACTACGGAGGCTTTGCCAGGGCGACTGAAAAATGTACCGCATCTCTAAGCATGCCAAAGCTCGGCCAAGAGATGCCAAGGGACTTTATGCGCACTGGGTTTGATGAGCTTCGCGCGCAACTGCGAACCAGCTCATGGAGATAAACAAAGAAAACACAGTCTCGCTTACTTAGATGCTCCCGCATATGCTCCTACCTGCTAGCATATCCTCTGAATTCCTCTGGAACACATCCCAACTCTTTTAATGTCAAACTGCAATGAACACTGGCCACATGTGGCTACACTAGTACACAACCCGTGGTTATATATATATAGTTATATATATATATTGCTTGTCAGCCGGCGGAGTCGCCAATGTTCGTCAACGTGGACACAGAATGGGGAAGAAAGCCAAGCCCCATGTGCACGGGTCTTGTGAAGACCAGGGAGAGGAGCTGCTAGAACTTACCAAAACCTGAATAAACCTGGGTCTCACTCGCTCAACAACTGCCGGGTATAACATCTAAGCTACTGCTTGTCTAACGATGCGATAGCTTGTTGTTGACCAAGGGACTGTTAGCAAAACACCTGCTAGAACAACAGATCGTCATGGTGACACATGTGACAACATGTGACAACTACGCACCATTCCCGCAGCATGGAAGAGGAAACACAAGCGCCTTGGATCCGACCATTTTCCTTTCCAAAATCGCGCCCTAACCACTGGGCATTTGGGCACGCCGCACGCGCGCCTCCCACAACTCCTCCGGCTCGGCCCAAACGGGGAGCCATGGGAGCCATCGGAGCCATGCGAGCATGGCATGTCGCCGGTGTCGGTCAGTGTCGCTGAAGGAGTGGAGGAATCTTTGGTGAAGAAAGCTCCGTTTCTTCCGGTAAACGTGTTGTCTTTTATGCTTTCCCTTGGAAGTTCTTGGCATTTTTTCCGAAGGGTTAACTTGGCTCTCAGATAGGGTATGCAAGGGGTGACGGGGTCAGTTTGTTTGAACAGTTGGGTGGCTGGCAATGACCTCTCATTCAAGTCCCTAAAAATGGTAGCAAGGAGACTATCAGGTGGAGGCCATCGCTATTACAGTAGGTTGGAGGCCATCGCTACTAGTAACAAGAAGCTACTAGTAAATGTCCCAAACCACATCAAGCCACCCTGTCACCCAGACCCACAGGATTTCTCACATGGCTTTGGGACTGTTGCGGTGGTGATGCACGGTCGCCAATGGCATTGGTTGAGATACACCCATCAGCCCTCATGATTGGTCATGTAAGATCATGTTAGATCCTACATCTGTCGTGGATCCTTACTGACTAAGTCCTGATCTGCTCTTTCTCAGCGGGTGTTTTCGCATCAAGTTTCGGTTGTGTCGCTCATTGGCTGACTGGCCAGCTTGGCTCGGAAAGCCATCAGGGTACGCCACTTCTCCTTATCAAAGTGCCATTCCCAAAGCTGCGGAAGGACGCTACTAGGGGCTCCTGGCCGTACTACTAGGAGCAAGTAGCTACTAGGGGCTCCTGGCATCGCTACTAGGAGCAAGGACGCTACTAGGAACACATTGCTCACTTATGCTCACGTTTTGTACTGGCTGGTGGCTCCCTCACAGTCACAGCTATTGTGCGGCTATCTATCTACTGTATGTATCTGTATATGTATCTGCGTGTGTTCGCTTGAATTTGCGGGCTTTTTCTCGATTGGAGAGGGTCTGCATGCATGCATGCATGTATTGATGCATTGATGTATGCACATATATGATTTGGTTTGGTTTTGTCTTGTCCTGTCCTGTCTGTCTGTCTGTATGTCGGCTTTATATGAACTGTTTGTGGTACTGGTCGGGGCTTCGCAGGCCTGCAAACTCATGAATCATGCAAGGCAAGTCAGGTCCTCGTCATCCGGATACTGTTCCACCAGATCTTCATCAACGCGAAGCCACTCACCTGCAGATCAATCGCCCTATATCTAGCATCTTGTTTCTAATAGCTTCTTATTACTACTAGTAAGGCACTTGCTACTAGTAGCGATGCACTTGTTCCTAGTAGCTTCTTGTTTCTACGAGCATCTAGAAAATGTGTCAAACAATGCGCACGACGTACCACATCAATCTAGCAATGGAATGCTCAAGGCTTCATCTTGCCGACTCAGGGCCGGCCTGTCTCCAATCGAACCATCCGTGGGCCCTCGGTAGGCACCGGCGCGCTGGAAGTGCTAAAGCGGCCACTCAACAGAGCCTCACCACAAGCGAAACACAGAGATTCCCTCCTGATAACCACTTGATGTGATTAATTGAGACTGCGTCAAAAGAAGCAAGTCACTTGTCTTCTTGTATGCATGTGTCAGGTTTAACAGCGCGGACCTGAAGAGACCTTGCCCCGGTTCAAGCAGCGGACAATCTTCTTCCTCTAATTGAATACCAAATTGGCATTCAATAAACTAAACAGCTTGGCCAATCAGTCAAAGAAACACTGAAAGAACATGAAAGAACCCGTCGTGGAACAAAAGAGTGCCAAAAAGAATCCAAAAAAAGTCCATGAATGTGTCCTCTCAGTGCTCTTCAAAGGCGTTTCCATGCTTTTCCTGTCCCGTCTTCCTGTCCTGTCGCGCGGTCGTCGTCCGTCTTCCGTCGTGCCTCGGTGGTGCCTCCCAGCCGCCCCAGCACGCCCTTCTTGGCACGTCGACGCTCATCCGCTTGCCGCGTCTCCCGGAGACTTTCCTGAGAACGGTGCCAGGCCCAGGGCGACGATGGAGCAAAGGCAAACCAATGGCATCAAACATCCCAAAAGCAATATGATACATCATATTTCAGAGTAGGGTGGTGAAAGGCATAAGGTGGCACAAAATGGCATAACTGTCGTGTAGTCTTGTCGAGGGCAATGAAGACAAGCGTGCGTTCATCGAGTTTACTCACTAGCATCCTTGGCTGCTAAGGGCTTGGATAGTCTTGACATGGTTTGAAGTCCAAGTCTCGAGCAAAAGTGAGAATGAAGGCCTTTCAGCGACATCCCAGCGCATACACTGGTCCGCTACCTGCCGCGTGTGCGGTTTGCAGCTGCGCAACGCATCACTGTCTCCCTGGATGCTTCCGCATTCCTCTGGCCTCATGGAGAAACACGCGACCTGCGGAAGCGCTGGGCGCTGCAGCCGTGCGGAGCTGGTGGCGACCATATCCCACGGTGGCTATGATCCTTGGGTCGTTGAGACATCTTCCGAATCACAGACTACCTGGACCTTTTGAAACACGCTCCATACGAGAAAGGCCTTTGACCATCTAGGAACCTACGTAAGGTTGCGCCCGGGCACTGCGCGATGGAGAACTCACCATAAGGCACTGCTCGGAAGAGCATCTCCCAAAGAATGAGGCCGAACCTTAGTGAAGGAACCAAGATGCGTGATCTGCGCGAAACCATGAATCTCTATGTTTAACGAGCATACACAAAGGGTGGCCCATCTTCAATAATTATTCCAATGTGCGTATGTGTGTTGTAATAGGGACAACCCCCTGGAAGAAGGGAAAATAAATCAGTCATGACCAGTCTTCCCAGCCAGGGCCAGGGAGTCTCCCTATTGAGAACGATGGCCTCCAACCTACTAGCGATGGCCTCCAACCTAATAAGACAATCTAAAAATATAAGACAATTAAGAAATATATAAAATGAATTGTTATATACACCCAACATCTCCGACTCTCCGAGCAGCGAATGCACGTCCGCCGCCTGCCGCGGCCGATGGCCTCGGAGCAGCTCGGGCGCCATCCAATTCACGGGACCTCGGGTCCGCGTGGGAGTGGAGGACACACGGGGCAAAACACAAGGAAGGAGTTAGGACAGCTTAGAGCAGAAAGGCTTAGGCAAAAGGTATTGTGCTTCATTGCTTCTTGCCTAGATGTTCTTTGCTCAACGATATGAGGGGCTGCTTCTGCCAAAACAATGGCATGTCCTGCCCCAAGGGCCGCTGAACATCGCGAGTTTTCAGTTGCACAACTAATTCTGAAAGGACTTATATTTAGCGAACAATGGCAATGGGCGGCAATGGTGTTGTTGGGCTAAGCCAAGAAGCACACCGAGTACTTCTTCACCACTTCTTCGACACTCAAGGCGCAGCGCTTAGCTTGGGCACCACGTACCTGTCTGGGCCAGGAAATTCGGCAAACTCAGATCCACAATGAATTGAGCTTCTTAAGCGATATCCAGATATATAACCTAGTTCCCATTCTACTCAGTCGGTAACAATTATATAATAACTGACCAATAAATCTGAAGCAGATTGTCTCGATCCATTTCAGCTGCCATCACACAGCTGTCGGCACCTTCAAACAGCTTCGCCAGCCAAAGCGCCACCAGGAGACGCCCAGGCCACAAAGCCGGGCGTGGCAGCCACCAGCTGGGAGGCTAAAGAAGCTATGACCCAAGGGCAACGATCAAAACCCGGGACCCCCAAGGAGCCCAAGGCAACTGCTTTGATGGTCTTACGGTTGAAAATGGTTGAAATGAAAAAACACCACGAAATGTCAAACGGCCATGAAGGGCAGTTTTTCCCAGATGGCTGACATGACAGCGCTGCTCATGTTGCAGAGGTTTCAGTGGAGCCAGCAAGAATCGACAGAACCAACACACTCTGCCAGCTACTACTACTTGGAAGCTAGTTACGAGTATACGGTCTGAACCAATCTGAAGAAAGAATATGAAAGAATGATTGATAACTAATGTCTTTGCCTTGCGATCACCGTGTCTTTCTTGAACTCCCCACCTGTCTGCACCACCTCGACGTTCACCGAGCACAAAGCTCCATGCGAGAGCCCCCTTGAGGTCAGCGCAGCCATGCCTTCGCAAATGCCCAAGCTGATCTGCAACTCAGTCCTGTCAAGCCATGTGGACGCCATGAGAAACTAGCTGATTTGCCAAGCCATGAGAAACTGTAGGGGCGCCATGAGGAACATGAATGTAAAGACAGCTCCAGTGAGCAAACTTCAGTCCTGAAGTCCAGCTGCTGCCTGCTGCCATCTGCAAAGCTTGCATGAATCAGCTCGAAGAGCCTCTTCTTGTCACGCCCAGAAGTCTGGTAAGATCAGCGTAAGGCACAAAGCAGGAAAGCAAAGACACAGTCAGACACAGTGGGAAAACAGCACGTGACACTCGCTTCAAGCTGAGTCGAGTTGCAATTTGCTGTTCTTGGCCATCTCATAGAGCGTGGTCCTTGCCGCGTACGGAAGGGGGGAACCTCGCAGAGCCTCCAACTGACACGTGGAACCAACACAAGAAGCTGCTTGGCGAAACTGGAAGAAACCCGACAAGTGATGGCAGCCCTGAGAATCGTCATTGACATATAATATGATCTCATATGCTACATCTGTTGCGTTTGAAGAGGGTTTTGAGATGATTGAAGCCTGAGCCCATTCCAAGACACAATCTCGCAGCAGCTCCCTCGGGCGCCAAGGTGATACCAAGCAGTGGCCGCAGGTTTGGGTGACGCACGGTGGCGAAAAGCTCTAGATCATGAACCTCGGATTATATCAGCTTTTTTCAAGCCATACCTCGCAATGAAAACTAGTCACTAACAATGCAAGGCGTGGGCGTAGCTTCAGGTCCGTGAAGCTTAAAAATATCCGTTTGTGGCCGCATTCGATATTGGCACATCTTCCCTTATACCAGTTACCACTTAATGTAACGAATGTTCCCCGTGACTATGCAGCTGTTTGGTGGCCCCTTTTATATAAGACCTCAACGAAACGCTCTGCCGGCGACTCGACGTTAAAGGGGCTGGCTGCTCTGTTTGGGCCATGACTCCCAGTCTTTGGCGGAAGCGAATGGCAAGGCA